CGTCATCTGGAACGTCTCCAAGTAAGTGGATGTGGCACTATGAGGTCGATAGAGTATTGACGACGCACTATGAACAGGTTGTTCGGCTGCTTTGCCTTTGCGTCCTCCCCTCTTACGGTACCGCCACTTTTTGTTGGCCGCCTTACCAACCGGCTGCTTACCCTTATTCACAGGGTTTCCGACACGTCCGGCGAGAGGAACGGATTGGACAGGGGGACGAACGTACATCGGTCTCCCGGACCAATTTCCTCCGCCGAAACCCCCGCGTCCGCCCCCTCGCCCTCCGCGATATCCCCCACGTCCTCCCGCACGCCATCCTCCGTATCGTCCTCCGCCTCCAAGGTCCGAGGCGACCGGGTTTCCGCCACGAGCCTTCTGCGCGAACTGCAAGATCTGGTCCTGCGTGCCCGATCGGTAGTTGAGGAACGCGTTAAAGGCATCGGTACTCATCAATACGCTATGGCCCGACGAGGTGGACGGAGGCGGGGCTGACTGAGCGGGTTGGAAGACTGACGCAACGAGTTGAGCGAACTCGCGCGGTCCAGGTGCGTAGGTCTGTCGCTTTTTGTAGACATCGTAGTAGCCTTCCGGCGGGTTGCCGGGATAGGTCTCGCGAGTGGGTTGGACTAGCCAGGCGGTGAATGCGTCCGCGTAGGTCTGCCACTTGACCCCGTCGTCGGCGGTGTATTGGTTGTGTGCGCGTTGGGACATAGTGGAATGGATGCGAGGAGAGTGAGGAGGTTGGCTGGTTGGGTATGCCATTTCTCGCTCACTCGCCCCTGTACTTATAGCATAGGAATAATCTGATACTGTGCCACCCGATAACTCGGTGAGTGGCACATACAAAGACTTCGCTTCGACTTGGCGCAGCGTGTGTTCAGTGCGTGCAATGTCTCCTTTGTCTAACTGACGGATATTTGAAATACCCATAGCCTCGAAATATTCCGTTAGTGCCTGCAGGTGCCGAACGTCTGCGTACGGTGCCCAGGTGACGTCCCCCGTCGACCATTGCACCTCAAACTCCGCGTCCGCGCCCTTTCCAAGGTGAGACAGAATGCGATCCACCGCCCATTCCCGTGGTTGTTCACCAAATCCGGGTAGCTGATGGAACTGTCGTCCAGGAAATCGCCTGTCGTCATTAGGGAAATGCGGCCGAAGGAGGGACGCATGGAACGCGTTATTAATTCCACGCGCCCTCAGCTCCTCGGAAAGTTCCAGTTGGTACGTCGCGCCCTCCGTGATCACCTTGCTAATCCGGAACGGTCCTAGGTACTTCGGTACGAGCTTCCGGGCACGCCCCTTTGGTAAGTTCAGGTTTTTCGTGGAAACATAGACTAGATCGCCCTCCGAAAATCCGGCCGGCCGACGGTGCTTATTGGCTTGCACCGTCTGTTCAACTCGCTTCGCGATGATCGCATCGTGAGCCGCCATGATCGCCTCCTTCATACGCTGCGCGAACTGACGAACCCCCGGATATTCAGATTCACTTGACCATACCAGACTACGCGGCATCTGCCCGTAGTTAAGGTAGAACGGCGAAAAACCGGTCGTATCCGAACGCGCTGTGTTCATGGCGAGTTCTACCGCCGGTAACCTCCTGACCCAATCTTTTTGATCAGGACTAACACACTGACGAAGCATCTGTGTCATAGTACGATTTGCCCGTTCCGTGGCACCATCAGTCTGCGGATGGTAGGACGATGACAACCGTAGTTCAGTCCCTAGCAGCTCATGTAAGCGTCTCCAAAATATGCTAGTGAACAAGGTATCACGATCACTAATAATCCTCTCAGGCAAACCATGCAGTTTGTACACATGCTCGAACACTACTTCCGCCACTTCCACAGCGCCGTACGTCTGTTTTGTAGGGACAAGATGCACCATTGATGTAAGCTGATCAATGATAACACAGATCATGTCGAATTCACCGTGTCGGTTCTCCGACGCAGGGAGCGGTCCTACGAAATCAATTCCAATATATTGCCAAGGTCGCCTAGGTACTGGTAGTGGGCGTAATAGTCCCATAGGGCGTGCAGTTGCTGATTTAGTCGTCGCACATACTCCACAGGTCTGACAGTACACCTTCGCATCCGAGACGATCTCTGGCCACCACAATTCGGCTCGTAAGTAATCCAAAGTCTTCTTGGATCCGAGATGGGCTAACAGTGAATGCGCATGTTTCAACAAGATTTCCCGGAGCTTACGCGATCCTACACGAATATCTGGTACGCACAGCAGGTGTGAACCTTCTTCCCGCTTATACAGCAGTCCATCTACATACTGAAAGTGCTGAAACTCGTCCGGCTTCGCGACAATCTTCCTGAAGTATGGGTCTTCCACGTACCGTCCACGAATACAACCCGGAAGCTCCATCCCGAGCTCACTCGCACTGGACACTACGGTGTCCCCAACTCGCGTGCCATCCAAATTGGAACCCGAACGAAGATCTTCGACTTCGTCAGTGTCTACCGCCTTTGGTACGCCATTTGGAGTAACCCTCTTGGCCTTTACTGACTTCGTCGGAACGTCATCCCTAGTTCCAGTCGAATTCAACGAAGACGTTGCTTGGTTGGTAGGGCTAGCGGTCGTGTCGTAGTCCTCATCCTCAGGGCCCTCAGGCGCGTCCTCAACTGATGTCCGTCGCGATCTACGTCGTGTCTCATCGTACGCCCCGTCCGCCTTAGGATGTGCGGCAATCCGCGCTGACCTTCTTGGCAGGAAGTCGATTACCGCGGCCGCTCCCGTATATACCGGTCGTAGGACTTCAAGACCCTGAGCCATGATGGGGATTCCTGCCCCATCATCTCCGACGTATTCCGAACTCGCTCGTTCAATTCCCAGCGGCTCATCACTGTACATACGGGACAGCGCGTCCGCGAGTACGTTCGTTTCGCCAGGAATGTAATGTATAGTGAAGCTGAACTCATTCAATACATCCAGCCACCTATGTTGCCTCGGGGACAAATTCTTTTGCCCCATGAGAAATTCCAGGGCTTTGTGGTCGGTGCAAATACGAAACCTCGTGCCGTAAAGAAGAGGCCGGAATCGCTTCAAGGATTCGACTATCGCAAGTAGCTCTTGTTCGTGTACGGGATAATTTTGTTGCGCGGAGTTGAATTTTCCTGACCAGAAGGTAATCACCTTCGCTGTCGCTAGGTCATTGCCTTGGCTAACATATCCGTGTCACGGACGTTGGACAGATGCCCCTTTTTGCCGCCCATTCCCTTTCCTTTGACGCCCACCTTCCATTTCCGGACCGTTTCCTTTCCTAGCTCATCCCAGTTTGGACACTGTAGATACGTTCCCGTGATCGCCATGCCCTTGCCTTTTCTTTCTCGCCCTTTGTTCCCCCTTTGTCATCTTCACTGCCTCGCTCTCGCGCCTTGTCCTTGGTTGCTAAGCAGCCCCTCTAGTATATAAGGACCCCCCTAGGCGCTCCCTAGTCCCCATCTCGACCTCTTGGTCATTGGGACTAGGTGAGTGACCATAGCGTTGTATCTCTCTTCGATTGCTAATGTATAACTTGGTCATTGGGACTAGTCTGTCGCTGCTTGCGTGAAGGCTAGCTTTCGTCGGTCTCGTGCCTTCGTGCCGACCGCCGCTCTGCCCCGTCGAGTTTTCNGATACGTTTATCCCTCTCTCCCTCGCTTTTCCCCCTTCGGCTCCTCGCCGCTCG